TGAGAAAAAATGTTTACAAAAGAGTTATCAAATATTGTTGGTTTTAAGGAACATATAATAAAAGAACATATTGTAAAAAGGGATTTAATTCAATATGAGAACACCAGGTTATGCTACAACAATGAAGAAAGCATAAAGTAAACCTTCGAATAGAATAAAATGATAAATGAGAACTTCTATTAGAATCAAGTAAAGAAATTCATCACTATGTATATAGCATAAATTAACATTAACTAATTATCCAAAATTAGTTCTCACTAATCCAAATAATTAATCCATTAATTATGTTAAATGCTTAGAAGCATACTTCTCGTTATACAATATTGCTTCTCACAAAACCAAGGCCAAAAAAGATAGTATGAAATATCAATATATTTATCTCTAAACCATATGAATAAACATGTTTGAAGATGATAATATCTTGAAACCATCCATAAGCTCAAAGGCACATAGTTACAAACTCTAAACATTTATAATAATAAAGTATCAAATAAATGGATAAGTTTATATCCAATAACATTCCACGAATAAAAAAAGAGTTCAATCTATCATTAACAACTCCCCTATCTCATGCAGAGAACAAGTGTTAATGAAAGAGATCTTGGTTGGTTGTCGATGCTACTCGGCGACACTTTTCCCCATATGCTATAGCACTTCCTGACTGGTGGCTTAGGCTTCCATGGAAAGGAAAAGAAGAATCGTGGAGAGAATATGTGAAAAAAGAGTGTGTAAATCTCCTTGAATGAAGAAATGACTCTTCAATTTATAGGTTAGAGGAATCATCCTTCAACCAATAAAAATGCTCCACGCATATGTGCTAATTGGTGTGATGAAAGCTGCCCCAACTAGTTGTCTAATCCAAAAGGTTCTCCTAACCATATGATGACTCATCGATTGCTACAACATCCACTCAGCATCCTCTATAGCTTCGATCAGTGCTGCAACATTTTTGTATCTTTTTCAGTAATAAAAATTAAAATCAGCCCAAGAAAAACCAAATTCCTCATGATGCAAAATATATGAAAATAAAACTAGGTATAAATGTTTCTAAAAGTTCTAAAGTTCAAGCTAAACCTAGGTATAAATGACTTATATGATAACTCTTTTTGAGAGTTATCAACCTTCTTTGACAATTGTTCGAACAAATTCATAACCACAACTTCAATATATCCTAAAGCCTTCGGGAAGATGAGTAAGCCATATATACCCAATGCATAAAGGTCAAATCATATATTCTCATTAGGATGATTTTAAATGGATTCTTTGATATTGATCCATGAAATTCCTTCTTTTTTGCCTTTTTGCTTGGTCTTAGAAACCACTCATTCCTTGCGCACTACTATAATATTTGCTAATTTGATCATGAAGGGTAGGGTTTTAATTGACTTGGAATAAATTTGATTATCTTGAGCTTCCTCTATATGTAACAAAGTTGTATGCTCTTTGATGGTAGGAACCATATATTCTCGGTTAAAAATAAAGCAATTGTACCCTAGGTTCCAGAATTGAACCAAGGCTTGTAGCATCTCATCATCTACCTCAATATACAATAGGTAGGAAATGTCACTATAACACTGGTAAAATTGTTGCTTCATGCTCGGGTGTCATTTTCCCAAATATCTCGTAAATATTTGATCTATTTTTCATCCATTAATGAAAGATTTCCAATTTGATGATTAACTCAAATATCAACATCTTCAATCTTGAATAATGCAGTGCAATAAAAAAAAGAAACGAGTTAGTACGGGTAAGGTGATTAAATAAATCTCAAAAACATATATCCTATCATGATATCTACCCAAACATTCTTTTGTTAAATAGCAATCTTAGCCAAACATGCTTTCTAACCCCAAACATACTTTCTACCCTACATGCTTTCTAACCCCAAACATACTTTCTACCCCACATGCTTTAGATAACATAATAAACTCTAAACTGCATATTTTTCTAATTCAAATGCATTTATTCATAAAATAAGTCTATTATATAAATTTAAAGATGAATTTTAGAGTTTATTTCCCCTTTTTGTACACTTATTGGGTCCTTACAGACGAAACTTTGGCATGTTTTTAGATCGAATGGGTTTCTACGATTTATTATATACAGAGTTTCGGCTTTAGAGGTAAAGGTACTTGAATTGTCCTTGCTACTACCCCTTGGACTAGGAAGACCCTTGATCCTCATCCATTATAGGATTACGCATATCAAGTTTAATTCGAGGGGGCACATTTCTCTATGCCTGACATGGAGAATAAATCCTCACAAAAAGATAGTGCAAATGAAACCTAAAAGCTACTTGCTATATCTGACACGGAGAACAAATTCTCACGAAGACTTCGCTTTCACTCTCACTTAATAAGGGAAAGAGCTTGGGTATAGAGCTTATGTTATGCAAATGCATGTATCGTGCGTGAGGAGAAATTCTCAAACCTTGGATAAACAACCACAAAAAAACTTCATTTAAAGTATTCTCAAAATGTCTCAATATCTGAAATTCATCAAATGCAAACATGAGTACATGCAAAAAAATACATAATATAATAATTACTTGAAGGGAATTAAGAGAATCATAAATTAAGTAAAATTGAATTCTTAATCAATTTCAGGCTTAACCCACTAGTATCCCCAGTCGCCAAGCTATCTAACGATCCCTAAGCTTGGAATGTGTCTAGTCTATTTTTTAAAATTCATTATTTGCAAAAAAAACATAGTTTGGAGTCACCATCAACTTTTTGGGTTAGGTAGGTCGAATACTTGAAAATTGTCTTTTAAATGAGATTTTAAGAAAACATCGTTTTTAAAATATAAGACCAATCCACATGTAACCAAAAATTCATTCTTAAAAAAAGGGTTCGGGAGTCGATTGTGCATGGGGGAAGGATAAGCACCACCACATCGCCTAAAATTGGTACCTCGTCAATTATAAATTGTCTCTAATAACATAAGTCTAAGAATTCAAATATAAATTTAAATTACTATCCTCTTATTTCAGACACATTCACACAATTTTATTAGCGAAAATATTAAGGAGAAAGAGAAGATATTCCATTATTTCCAATCGAAGAGGAAATAATCTCTAAAATACTTTAGGATGATTATTTCTCTTTCCAATTGAAACAAAAGGAATATAATAATTTCTCCCAATAACTCAATATTAAGTAATTTGATCAGACCAAAAAAATGAGAATTTAAGCCAATTAGTCCAAATTACCTATCCAATTAGAAGAGATAAGGGATGCTCAATTATTTAAAAAATCGAGACCAAGTCCCTAATATGAATTAAAGGAATTATCTCGATAAGTTTAAATAAAGGAACATTTCCTTTTCTCTTTTGTTCTGATTAATTTTAAATTTACTTGATTTTTTAAATTTTTACTAGTAGGATATTTATTTATTTTAAAATACTAAAATATGATATCTAATTACCTTAAGACAACCCTCTCTTAATATTTTAAAATAAATAAATATTACCTTTAATTCAATTATAATTATGGAATCAGTCAAATTATACTTATGAGGCTAACATACATATATAAGATGTCTAGACCTCTATGTACAACAAACGTACTTACGTAATATTTAACAAACGTTCGTAAAATGATATATTTTAATCTCAATAAATTAAAGTATATATTACGTCATATTTAATATGGGAGGTTAACTAAAGTGAGCATATACACATACATTTAGCAATTCTAGAATCTAAATATGTGAGAAATGGCGAGGAAATACTAAGTAGATTTAATCAAGCATGCTAAATTATAATAATAAAAACTTCAACTTTAATGGTGAATATATAAGCATGAGAAAAACAAAGACTAGAAAATAAATATCATGCAATATATGTGGTTGAAATGAACAAAACCATAAATAACATTGGGATCAAAATGCCAGAGAACAAAATAAGGGATCAAATGTGACAAGAATATGAAGCATGGGTATATAGATTCATAGGACCGAAATAAAATAAACATAAGATAGGGTGCAATAATTAAAGGACTGAAATTACTGAAAAGTAAAGGACAGTAATTAATGGCATAAACATAAAGTAATGGAATTTTAAGGACATAAATAAAATAAAGAAAAATATAAGGCACAAATTAAAAGGAGCATAAAAATTAAATAACATAATTAAAGAAGGAAAATGCAAGAAAAATAAAATGTTAGGGATAATTTTAATATTTAACCCGGACCGTAAATAACGCGAGTCATACCCCAGGGCGGGTCGTCACGAAGTCGTGCCATTAATTCGAACATAAAAAATACAAATTAATTGTTAGCGATTAGAAGTTAGAAAAGTCAGTTGTTAGATATTAATAGAGTCTAGAGACCATAATAATATAAATCATACCCTGAATTGAGTCACTGCAAGATCAAATTGAATGCTAATGCAATAATAAAGTTAAGCACACAATGAAAATAAAATGCAAAATCACTAAATTAGTACATGTAAATCGAAATAAATTGAGAAGAAGACATGGTGACTAAAATGAAAATAATGCTAAAAGTAAGGGGACCCTAACGTGAATACTCCTTACATTTTCACATAAAGCTTATCTTTTTTCCTTTTTCAGGTAATTTTTAGTCTAACCCTAAAATTAAACTTTCCCCTCTCAATATTCTCTCAACCTTTTATTCTCCCCCTCACGCCAGCCGTCTGTTATGAATTAGGATGAAGAATTTAGGTTTAAGAAAAGAATTTAAGAGAAAAGATATTCATTCATTCTTCAGAGATAATTCCAAATGGAATCAGGTACAGTTTTATATAATTACAAGTACCAGCTGGCATATACTAGAAATCTAACAAATTAACTAACTATTGCTAACTCATGCACGTTCATAAGCATTTGGGTATCTTAGCAGATTATCCCTGAGGCCCACCATTACCCAGGCCCGTGTTTTGCCTCAGTAGACCCAAGCTCCTTCTCCATTCCAGCCCCAACAGTAATTTTCTCCCCAGCCTTCTCATTTTCTAATCCTTCCTCATTCAAAATCCCTAACTATTCCTCGTTTAAAATCCCTAACTGGGGTAATTTCCTCCCAATTTCCCCTTTTTCCAACCCTAATTCCTCTTCCATCATAACAATACTCCCTCCACCAGATGATCCTTGTCCCCAAGGATCGAAATCTAGAAACTGAGTCTTCAGCGTTGAATAATATTCCCACGTCGCCTCTGCTAGTCCCATATTCGTCCATTGAATCAATAGATGGGTTACTGCCTGGTTTTGGTGTTTAACCATCCATTTATTCAACACACTAGCTGGGTAAACTTTCAATTGGCCATCATTCGTGATCTCTGGAGGATCAATTGAAGGTACTCGCCCTTTCCCAATTTTTTCGTTTGAGTGAACTGACATGAAAAACAAGATGTATTTTCGAATAGTATGGTAACTGTAACTTGTACATCACTGACCCAATTTGTTGTTGTATTTTGTAGTAACCGAAATATATCACAACAAGCTTCAAATTTTTCCTTAAAGCCAAAGAGGTTTTCTGATAGGGTTGAAGTTTCAGGTAAACCTCCTCCCCCACATTAAATTCTCTGTATGTTCGATGTCTATCTGCCAACTACTTCATGCGATTATTGGCTTTACTTAGCTGTTCATTTAACAATATATTTAATTGATCACGTTGTTGCATCATGTCTTGAACTGCTCCCACCGTAGATTCTTCTGTCCAACTTAAGTTAGGAGGTTTGTAACCATAAAGTGTCTCAAATGGGGTCATTCCCAAGGCAGTGTGGTAATTAGTATTATACCACCACTCTACTTCAGGTAGCCACTTTAACCATGAAGATGGTTTAAGCAAACACATACATCTAAGGTATTATTCCAAGCACTGATTAAGCCTTTCTGTTTGTCCATCCGTTTCAGGATGATAGGCAGTACTGAAAAACGTGTTTGTCCCTAGTTACTTTAATAATTCCTGCCAAAAGAGACTTGTAAAAGTCTTATCCCTGTCTGAAATAGCAATTTTAGGAGGTCCATGCAGCTTATAGACTTGCTCTAAATATAACTCAGCAACTTCTACCACTGTATATGGATGTGACAATGGTAAAAAATGATCATACTTGGTGAATTTGTCTATCACCACTAGGATACATGAATGCTTCATAGAATATGGTAAGCCTTCTATGAAATCCATTATAATGACCTCCCAAACATTATTAGGAATATGAATGGGCTGTAATAAGCCTGGTTTAGCAATATGTTCTATTTTAGTCCTTTGACAAACATCACATTGCTGCACATACTCTTGAACCATAGTTTTCAGTCTAGGCCAGAAAAAATAGGACTTAACTCTTTGGTAGGTAGCTTGTATACCTGAGTGGCCTCCTATTGATGAGTCATTGAGAGCTATAATAATCTTCTCTCTGAGGTCTCCCTTACTACCCACATAAGCTTTATTTTTGAAATACAAAACTCCCTTAACCAACTTCCAATCTTCTATACTTTTTGGTTGTAGAACCAACATATGAATCTTTTCTTGTGCCAGTGCATCATCCTGGTAACTCTGTTCAATATCCTGCATCCAAGTAAGAGTTATAACTATTATCCCTATTTGGAAAAACTCACCAGAATCCTCTTGTTGTCTAGAAAGAGCATATGTTACTTTATTGTGTTTGCCCTTTCTGTACTGTATTGTATAATCAAGTCCCAACAGTTTATTTAGTTCTTTCTTCTGAATAGTTGTAGTTAACTTATGCTCAAGAAGATGTTTTAATGGTTCATGATCAGTCTTGATAACAAAAGGTTCATTTTCTAAATAATGTCTCCAATGAGATACTGCCATTAAAATGGTCAAATACTCATTTTCATAGATTGACAAGTCTGCATGTTTTGGCCTAAGAGCCTTGCTTAGATAAGCTATAGGCCTTCCTTCTTGAGAGAGAACTTCTCCAGTACCCTTTGAACTAGCATTTGTCTCCAAACAAAATTTCTCAAAATTTGGTAAAGCCAAAACTGGATATCTGCACATTACTTGTTTCAATTCTTCAAATGCTTCCACAGCTTCTGGGCTCCAATAAAATCCTTCCTTCTTGAGCATATTATTCAAGGGCTTGCTCAACTCTCCATAACCTTTAATGAATTTCCTATAATATCCTGTGAAACCTAAGAAACCCCTCAAAGCTTTTAAATTCTTAGGCAAAGGCCATTGTTGCATAGCCTTGATCTTAGCAGGATCAGTAGCCACTCCCTGTGCTGAAATCAAATGCCCCAAATATTCCACTTGTGATTGCCCAAAGAAACATTTGCTCCTTTTAGCATATAATTTATTTTCTAAAAGAATGTTTAAAACCACCCTTAGATGTTGTTCATGTGCTGCAAAGTTAGGACTGTAAACTAAAATATCATCAAAGAACATAAGGACAAATTTCCTTAAATAAGCACCAAATAAATCATTCATTAATGCTTGAAAAGTAGCTGGAGCATTAGTAAGCCCAAATGGAATTACCTTAAATTCATAGTGTCCTTGGTGAGTTCTAAAGACAGTCTTGTGAATGTCCTCATCCTTGATCCTGATTTGCCAATACCCTGACCTTAGATCAATTTTGGAGAAAAATGCACCTCTATTCAGTTCATCTAGCAAATATTCTACTATAGGAATAATAAACTTATTCTTGATGGTGATAGAGTTAAGTTGTCTGTAGTCTACACAAAACCTCCAAGACCCATCCTTCTTCTTGATTAATAGACAATGAGAAGAAAAAGAGCTTTGACTAACTTGTATGATGGAAGCTGCTAGCATGTCAGTAATCTGCTTTTTTCAACTTCAGCCTTATGAGGATGTGTAAATCTGTATGCTCTGAGATTCACAAGTTGTGACCCTTGTTTTAGGACAATAGCATGGTCATGTTTCCTTTTAGAAGGAATTTCTTTAGGATCTTCAAAGATTTCACTAAATTCTTCCAACAACTTCTCAAGTGGTTGAGGGGTTATGCTGTCAGCAACTTCAGCACTTAACCAAAATATTTCTCCAGTCATTTCAGTATCCTTTAATGCCAACTTCTGAAATTTCTCTCCTGTGATGGATCTGACTAGAGGTAATTTTTTAGTTCCTCTAATAACAACATTCTTGCCATCTTTCATAAAACTGATAGTTTTGTCCTTAAAATCCATTAAAATATGACTAAATTCCTCCATCCAATCCACACCAAGTACCATGTCACTGCCTCCCAAGGATAGAACTCTAAAATCATGTTGGAATTCATATCCCTGCATCTTCCAGCTTACTTTATTACACTTAGCATTGCTGTAAAGCTTCTCTCTATTAGCTACTGTGATTACTAATGGTTGAGTGTTTACTAACTTCATTCCTTCTTTAGCCCACTTAGGAGTTACAAAGCTGTGAGTGCTTCCACTATCTATCAAAATGTTCAAGGGTTTTCCCTTGATAAATCCTTGTATCCTCAAGGTAGTATGGCCCACATTCCCTGTAATAACATTAATGGATATTTCAAGAGTTTCCTTTTCTGTATCCTCCTTTTCCCCAGCTTCTTCTTCAGTTATACCTTTTTCAGCAGACTCTTCCTCTTCTTCCATACAATTTAGTTGTCTGACCTTGCATTGATGTCCAGGGGTAAACTTTTCCCCACATTTAAAGCACAAATTATGTGTTCTCCTATACTCCACTAAACTTTGCGTAATATTACTATTTAGTGGACTGGTTTTAGTCACCAAACCAGTATTCAAGTTCTTTGGCTGAATATTCTGAGATGTGTAAGCAAAACTTCTGGTATGAACTTTGTACCTTTTAGTCTCAATCTCATTTGCCAACTCATAAATTTTGGCTTGTCTATATGCCTCAGATAGAGTTTTAGGCTCCAACACCTTGACCTTGTGCTTAAGTTCTTCTTTGAGACTACTAACAAAACTGGAAACAAAATAATCTTCCCCCAGATACATATTTTGTTGTAGCAAATATGGTTTTAACTCTTCAAAATTGTCTTGATACTCTTCCACACTTCCTTTTTGCATTAACTTATTAAATTCTTCAATAATGTCTGAATAATTTTTATCACCAAACCTATGGCACAAATCAGCCTCAAATTCATACCAAGTAGCTCTATGCTTCTGCATAATGTAACCATCAAACCAGGTCTCATCCCTCCCAGTTAAATACATAGCAGCTATTTCCAGTTTCTGTTCTTCGGGTATTCCAAACAGATTAAAAAAAATTTGACATTTCCTAATCCAACCTCTGGAATTATTTCCATCAAACATTGGTAGCTCCAATTTTGGTCTAGGTAGCACAGAACTTGTATTTCCAAAAGGATTTTTAAAATAGTTTCTAATGTCCACATGTTCATCTCCTTCCCCCTTAATCTCACTAAAACTATCCATAGGATTTTCTTTTTGCAACTTTGGATTAACAGTTTGATGACCAGTAAACCCCACAGGTTTAAAAGCTAATATCCCTGGTTCATTAGGTTGAAAAGTATACTTCTCATGCTCACTAAGAATCGTAATCAAGCATGGTTGTTTACCTCCATTTTTTTTATGTTTTTCAGCTGTTGTTGGTTAACTCTTCACTGACTGAGGTGAATCTTTCTCCTCAACTGCTTGATTGACCAGTTGTAGGATCCTCTGCAAATACCCTCTATTTTTAGTCATTCTCTCTTTCAAGGTTTGTATTCTTCCTTTCAGCTCCTCTTTCTGCCCAGCCCACCAAGATGGTAAGGTCTCTTCCTTAACCTCCACTGCTTGTTCTGGTACCTCTATGGTTCCAGCCTTCTACATTTTTCTTATATTTCCCAGCGTGAAAATAGATTTTGGATCACTCAACTAAGTTATGATACCAATTGTTATGAATTAGGATGAAGAATTTAGGTTTAAGAAAAGAATAGAAAATAATTTAAGAGAAAAGATATTCATTCATTCTTCAGAGATAATTCCAAATGGAATCTGGTACATTTTTATATAATTACAAGTACCAGCTGGCATGTACTAGAAATCTAAAAAATTAACTAACTATTGTTGACTCATGCAGGTTCATAAGCATTTGGGTATCTCAGCAGATTATCTCTGAGGCCCACCATTACCCAGGCCCATGTTTTGCCTCAGCAGACCCAAGCTCCTTCTCTATTCTAGCCCCAACGGTAATTTTCTCCCTAGCCTTCTCATTTTCTAATCCTTCCTCATTCAAAATCCCTAACTCTTCCTCGTTTAAAATCCCTAACCGGGGTAATTTCCTCTCAATTTCCCCTTTTTCCTACCCTAATTCATCTTCCATCATAACACCATCGCTTCAACACCCCAATACCACACCGACTGTCGAGCACTGATGGTCTTCTCCCTATCCAAATAGTGACCATGACACGGATAACTGAAGAGGCCTCCCAAACGAGTCAAACCCCTCTACTTTCATCTTCTCTCTCTCCCTATTTTCGATCGAAAACCCATGGACCCAACCCCTACCCTATATCAATATTTCACTCTCATCGGTCACCCTAATGGTGGCCATCGACCTCATATTCAACCCACAGTCGAAACTAAACTCCCCCTTACTACAAAGTCTCCTAAAATAAGACCCTAAAGAAAAGGTCAAACCCTCTCTTAATCGATCGAGCTGGCCTTTGGTTTCTTTGCTTCCCGACGCCACTACCCCTACTCCGGAAAGGGTTCACCCCAAGGTACGGTTGAGCAACGAAACCGAGAAAACCAAAAAATCGACACAAACCGAGTAAAACGGTTCGGTTCGGTTTGGTATTATACGGTTCGGTTTTCGGTTCGGTTTAAAGTCTTAATTATTTTGATTCGGTTCGGGTTTTCCATATGGAACCCATTTGTTCCATATTGAACCGAATAGGCAATTTTTTTAAAAAAAATTATAGTTTCAAGTGATTTTTTCATTGAAAAACCGAAAAATCGAACCAAATCGAAAAAACTGATTTTTTTTAACCATTCGATTTCGATTTCGGTTTAAATTTTGAAAAACCATTTATTTTGGTTCGGTTAAATTTTTGGTAAAAAAACTGAACCGAACCGAACCGAATACACCCCTACCCCAAAGTAAATGGGCAACTTTATATTCTCTTTTTATTCACTAGAAAATCATATATTCATGCACCAAAAGAAAAAAAAACATGGTTAAAAAAAGGGGGCCAAAATACCTTTCAACTTAGTATTGCTTTGGTTTGATTCAGGTGCTTTTTTTATTCCCGAAAAGTCCCCCTTGCATTTTTTTCGGGTTTTTATATCCCGGTTACATGGATGAAAAAACAAAAAGGAAGAACCTTTTTCATTTTTTTGATTTTTTTTTACAACTGATATTCTGATCTCTATTTGCATGATTGGTGACGAGGCAAACGATCTAGTGTCGTGGCAAGGCGAAGGCATTGGGACCACGGTGACTCTAACGAGGCTCGTACAGGTAGTCCGATCTAGCATGGATCTCATTGAATGCCCCCATATTTCTTGTGATTTGTCTCGGCTCGATTTGACGTCGGCTTGATGATCGACGCAGCTGGAATCCGGGCTTGGCTGCGATAGCTCTGTTGCTTTGGGGTGAAACCCTAATTTGCTTTGATCTAGACCGTTAGATAGAGTTTAGATCTGACGATCCATGATGAGTGGCGGTTGGAGCTAAGGGTAAAACCCTAGTTTGCTTCCATCTGGACCGTTTGATCATTCCCATATCTGGTGATGCGGCTGGTTGGAACATGATGAAACCCTAGATATATTGGGTCCTCATAAGGGCTTCCAATGGGTTTTGCTTGTAATGGGTCATGGTATTATTGGATCTTTATAATTGTAAAGTTGGGTTTACACATATAAATATATTTAATAGTTTTCTTTTATTTAATAATAATAATAATAATAACAATAAGGTTGGGTAAAAATATGGTATTACAATTATATATATAAGAAGTGTTGACTATAAGAAGTGTTGACCTAAAGTTAGATAAATACTAGATGAGATTTCCCCACGACTACACTAGGGATAAATCTAGGGATGGCAACTCAACCCGAATCCGACGGGTTCCGACCCGACCCGACTCAATCGGGTCGGATTTTTTTAAAAAAAATTTGGGTTCGGGTCGGGTTTTTTTTAAATGCACTGTTCGGGTCGGGTTGGGTCGGGTTTAGGGTAAAAAAAATCCGACCCGACCCGACCCGAAAAATATATATAATTTTATCTTATATATTTAGGGATAATTACAATAATATCCCTCCATATATAATTTTTTTCAATTAAGTCACTGTTTTCATTGAATTAAATTTTTTTTTTTATTATTTCGGGTCGGGTCGGGTCGGGTCGGGTTTCTAAGTCATATATTCGGGTCGGGTCGGGTCGAGTGAAACATTAATTTTGTCGGGTCGGGTCGGGTCACGGGTGGAGAACCCTTTCTTCTCGGGTCGGGTCGGGTGGCCCAAAAACCCGACCCGACCCATTGCCATCCCTAGATAAATCTAGTTTCAGAAAATAGTTGTCCATCGGAGTGTATTGGCCTTAACAATTTGCCGAACTTAATGTCCATAGCAAACCAAGCACTTTAGTTTTTAAGAGCAAATTTTGAGCTTTTATAAGTAATAGGCCTTAATGAAACTACGTTTACCTTTGTTTTCTTCGTGGGAAGGAAAATGATTAGGCTAATCACCTAAATACGTTAAAACCCATGTGGGACAGATAATCATTGAGTTTCTACAAAATTCGATTCAGAATAATCGATTGATAATAAAAATCAGTGGTTAAACTAAAAAAAAAGAATTTAAATCATGGTATTATAAATAAAATAAATTTGATTGAGATGATCGGCTCTATAATAGATTTTTATCATATCGAATCTAAATTAATTTATCAATAAATCAGATATGAAAATTATTAAAAAAAAGTTTATATATATATATATATGATCCAAATGAATCAAACCTTGTTTTAAGTCTAGATTAATTTGGTTGCGCTATTCACTATCCTAAATAATAAATCAACGTATGATCCTTGCATGTCATCTTCAACGGCATATACCTAACTTTACAAATTGTTGATTATTACAGACAACCGTAGAATGAGACATTAGATCTCTTGCGTAAGGTTAGGGGTTCAAACACTGGCGTTTGTGAATAGAACAAATTGGGTTGAGAGAGTCACCATTATCTCTGTAATACCCGATCCGAATAATCGAATATTGGTGGTTATAAAAAAACTACACTATTGATTATTATCCCACATGCATAGTCATACCCATTTTTTATAAAATAATAATGAAGTTTTAATTTATTATCTTATTAAATCGATTGATGGAAACTTCTCGGTTCTACACTTGTACTACTTTCAAAATTATACTCCAAATCTTGGACAGGAAGAGCGAATATAAATCATGTTTGGTTTCCAAGAAAATGTAAACGTAAAACATGGAGATTCTCATCGTGTATGGTTCTCTATTAGAAGAAAATAAATAAATAATGCCATAAGAGATGATTTTGAATAAAAAAATTATATTAATAAACATAAAATATAAGTTTAAATATATTTTAACGTTTCTAAAAGTAAATTGAAATTGAAATTAGCTGGTCAATTTTATTTTTTAAATTTTAATAAATTTAATTTTTTTATTAATCTAGTGTAAATACAAAGTAGTAGTTGTTCAAAAATTCTTAATTATTTGAGCTCATAACCCTGCATACATAATGCTCCAATTTAGGACTTCAAAAATTAATAATAATTCCTTAATTACTGAAGTATTTCAATTCGTGAAATTTTAATAAGTTTAATTTAATTTCATAACAACCGTCCATTTTTAAAATCATAAATATTAGATGAAAAATTGAGTGATGGCAACAGTTTAATTAGTCAAAATTTGCCAACTTCTTCTGTCGGTGATTTAAATATGAATATGTTTTATATAGTATAGTTTAAGAAAGCAAAAGATTTGGAGATTGGATCAAAGTTTACGTACCAATTGTTTAACCTAAATATAACCCAACCTACCATGTTTTTATTTTTAATGAATCATAGATCTCAATCGGTAAGATCAAGGTTATATTATAGACTTAGATTTTGTTAAACAGAGTAGGTGTAAAATGATCACAACTTTTATTAATATGACTTTAAATCCAATCTTAACGGTATAAATAAATTTAAATTCATATCGAAAAGTATAATCATTAACCAATTTGATATCGCTTAAGCAGGTATTGAGTTCGACGTTTTGTGTATGCAGAAAATCTTAGCTGGAAGACTCACGTACCAAAGTCAGGTGTGCGACATATGTCGGTACAAATTAGTCAGGGCGAAGTCATGGAACCGAGAAGGCAACAAAAAAAGCATAATCATCAAATTATAGGTATAATACCAAAATTAGTCCCCCAATGTTTATCAAAACAATCATTTTAGCTATTATTCATAACACTTTGCATTATAGGGCGACATTAGGAGCCTTTTTGCCCTAAAATCAACCGTTGAATGTCAAAATGCTCAAAAAATAGGGACCAAAATAACCATTTGGATAAATGTTAAGGGCTAATTTTGCATTATACCTAAATCATATTGTGTTTTCCTTTTTTTATTTTCAATATTCATAACACTTTTTTTCTTTGGTCAATAAAATTATTAAGAAGAACCAACGGGGGTTGGTTCAAGTAGTAAGCAGCTTGATATCGTTTAAGTCATGTCTCAAGTTCGAGTCCTTGTGTATGCATAAAATTCCCGTCGGGAGACTCACCCACCAAAATAAGGTGTGCAATCCGGGTCGATATAGATTAGTCATAGATAAATTTTGATAACCGGAAAG